TTATTTGGGCAAGAAATTACAAAGAACAAGACATAGAAAGGATGGGCCCGGAATAAGGCCCATTACAGAAAAGAACATAAACAGTAAGAAAGAATAAACAGCCTATGGGCCATTCGGCCCATCTTCTCTACAATCCTTCTTATTAGCAGAAAAATACAAAAGAAATAAGGGAGAAGAGAGGAGAGAGAGAAGAGAGAAGGGAGAAGAGAAGAGAAAGTGTTTGGGAGTCGAATCTGTTGTGGCTGTGCCAAAATATATTATATTATATAGGGTGACACTGAAAAGATGGGGAAAGGACTCTTATGCCCCTACGACACTTACAGTTCATAAACAGAATAAGAAGCTAAGTTATTCTAAACAAAACAAGAGAAAATAAACTGAATAAAATAAACAGAATAAACTAAGCTATTTGAACACTCACCCTCAAGTTGGGACATAAATGTCAATCATGCCCAACTTGTCACACAAATCTTTGTGCCGCACAAGATGAAGACCCTTGGTGAAAATATCTGCAGTTTGTTCTTCTAAACTGACATAGGGAGTGCATACTTCTCCATGCACAAGTTTTTCCCTAATAAAATGCTTTTCTACTTCAATATGTTTTGTCCTATCATGGAGGATTGGGTTTGCAACAATGTTGATAGCATCTTTGTTGTCATAATAGAGTAGTGACATGGGGCTATTAACTGTAAAGCCCAGTCCACCTAATAGGTTCTTTATCCACATGATTTCAGCAACTTCATGAGACATAGCTCTGTATTCTGCTTTGGCACTGGACCTAGCCACCACACTTTGTTTTTTACTTTCTCTAGGTATTTAAGTTTCCTCCCACAAAGGTACAATACCCACTAGTAGACTTTCTGTCATTGGTTGCTCTTGCCCAATCAGCATTTGTATACACTTCAACTTTCAAATGCTCATGTTTCTAGAACAACAAACCGACCCTTGGGAACCTCTTGAGATATCTAAGGATCTTTTCTACAGCTTAAAAGTGGGAAGTCTTAGGATTATGCATGAACTGACTAAGGATACCCACTGCATAGGCAATGTCAAGTTTGGCCATAGACAAATATAAGTCTTTTGCAAGTCCTTGGAACTTCTTCACATCTTTCATAGCCTCCCCCTGACTGTCACCCAACCGATGATTAGGTTCAATGAATCAATTGGCTTCACTCCTAACTTGCCTATGTCCTCTAAAAGATCCAGTACGTATTTCCTTTGAGATATAAAGATGCCCTTTTGAGAGCGAGCAACTTCAATCCCAAGGAAATAACATAAGGGACCTGGATCTTTCACTTTGAATTGAGTGGCTAAGAAATTCTTCAACTTTTGTATTTTAGTCTTCTAATCTCTTGTGACTACTATGTTATCAACGTAGTGACATACACAACTGAAGTTGCAATTTTCTCTTTGCCTTTCTTCACAAATAGAGTATGATCTGACTGGCATTGTTTGAACCCCATTTATTGTACAACTAAGTGAAACTTACTAAACCAGGCCCGAGGTGACTGTTTCAAACTAGATAATGATTTTTTTAATCTGCACACCTTCTCCTTACTACCTTTGGCACAAAAACCTGGAGATTGAGTCATGTGTACCTCCTCCTCTAGGTCACAATTCAAGAATGCATTTTTAATATCCAATTGAAGTTCCCAGTCAAGATTAGCTGCTAATGAAAGGAGGATTCTGATAGAGTTCATCTTGGCCACTGGAGCAAAGGTCTCTTTATAGTCTACTCCATACACCTATGTAAACCCTTTTGCTACCAACCTGGCTTTGTACTTTTCTATCGTACCCCTATGCTTCACTGTGAACACCCACTTACATCCCACTGGTTCTTTTCCTTCAAGAAGATCCACCAACTCCCAAGTGCCATTTTTGTGCAAGGCATTAATTTCTTCCTTCATTGCATCTGTCCATTCAGGTATGGATAAAGCTTCTGCCACATTCTTAGGAATAGAAATATTGTCAATGGAGGAAAGAAACACACAATATGAAGGTGAGATATGATCATAAGATACAAAGTGGGAGATAGGATGATTAGTAGTACAAGATCTAACACCCTTTCTCTTAGCAATAGGAACATCAAGATCATCAATAACAAGAGGATCAACATCAATTGGGTCAGGCATATCAATGGGAACAAGTGTACCAGGCTGATGGGGATCTGCCTTTGGATAGTCTAATGATGTTGGCTGCATAGTGTCAGGTTCCATGGCTCTTGAACTTTGTTGGCTCTTGTGGCAGTGAAGGAAGACACAAAATGGAGGAGGATTAAGAAGAGGAGGTAATTGTACCTGGGTGTGTTTCTCCTCAACCTTACTCTCCCCCTGAGGAGAAACCAAAAAAAAAAGGTTGACTCTCACAGAAGGATACATCATGGAGACATAGTACTTGCGTGAAATAGGATCATAGCATCGGTAGCCCTTTTGAGATAAAGGGTAGCCAAGAAAAACACAAGGGATAGCACGAGGATCAAGCTTACCACAAGTAGGGGACAAGACATAAACAAAGCAACGACTTCCAAAGACACGGTCTGATACCATTTTAGTAGAAAAATACAAAAGAAATAAGGGAGAAGAAGAGAGGAGAGAGAGAAGAGAGAAGGGAGAAGGGAGAAGGGAGAAGAGAAGAGAAGAGAGAAAGGGAGAAGGGAGAAGAGAAGAGAAGAGAAGAGAAAGTGTTTGGGAGTCGAATCTGTTCTGGCAGCTTGGGGACTAGTCACAAGCTGGGTCATCACTCTACCAGAATTTGAACAAATCAGTTTTTCAGATTTTGCTGATAACTTTTGGGAATTGTTAGAGATTCAAAACCGTAATGTGAATCAATTAGTCTAAACTGAAGTTGGATGTTTGATTTCTTTGTAAGGGGTGTAACCTAGACACCTGATCAGCTTGTATCTTGTTTTTGTTTTAATAAAATTATATATATATATATATACATATTATAGGGTGACACTTAAAATATGGGGAAAGGACTCTTATGCCCCTGCGACACTTACAGTATAAACAGAATAAAAAGCTAAGTTATTCTAAACAGAACAAGAGAAAATAAACTGAATAAAATAGCCAAAATAAACTAAGCTATTTCAACACTTCTAAGCATACACATTTCTGCCACACTCAGTTTTTGGACATGCTGTTCTTAACTGCCCACCACTCTTGCTCCATAAAGCATAGCTGGCTTTATAACTGTTTTATAGAATTTCCCTTTTAGCCAAAGTGGTATTCGCCTATCACATTAGACTTTGGATGCACCTCCTGATTTTTCCTGTCGTGCTTTAATTCCATGAGTGGCATCATCCTCAATCTCCTCTTTGTTATGAATTAGGGTAAATTACTGAAACCTCCCCTGAAGTTTCTGACCGTTGCTGAAACCTCCCCTGAACTTTCTAACACAATTGCAAGTAGACCCCCTCTGTTAGAATCCTCTAACAAGAGGCATGCAAATGTCCAATATACCCATACAATTATTATTGAGGCTGGTTTCTACAGAAAAAAACAATACAAATTTTATAAATAACAAAAAAACTAGAGAATGTAAAGTTGAAGTTTTACCTCTGAGCGATTGATATGAAGGGAAATTTAGAAAAATAAATCAATTTCAGAAAAGATATTAGAAGGGTTTAGAATGGTGATTCATATGAAGAGAAAATTTGGAGAATAAACATTTTGATCAAAAGTTACTGCATGGGTATTTTGGACATTTTCATGCCTCTTTTTAGAAGATTCTAACAAAGAGGGTCTACTTGCAACTATGTCAGAAAGTTCAGGGGAGGTGATTACAATTACCAAACTTCAGGGAAGGTTTTAGCAGCAACCAGAAACTTAAAGGGGAGGTTTCAGCAATTTACCCTATGAATTATTTAACCAAGATAATGGAAAAATAAATAGAACAGAAGAGTATATGATGCTAACTTGTATTTGAAACTCTTTTCTAGACCCAAAAACAAATTCCAACTTGTATTTGGATTCTAACTCCTACTTGTATTCAGACTTAAAAAGAAGTAGAAGCTTCCTTTCAAATTAGGACACTTTTATAGCTTTTTATAAAGAACCAGAAATTACAATGAATAGTAAGTCATTATTTTACTATAAATAGCAATTACAAAACTTACTATAAATAGAGATCATTGGAAATATATATAGTATATCAGTGGGGTCCACTGATCAATTTGTTGACTTTGACTTGACCATGACTTGTAGAACCCAAAAATTGGTCATCTTGAAGCTTTAGTTGGAGCACTTCCATATGTCGGGTTGAGCCAAAAATATACACTATTTGAGCACTACAAGTGTACTTTATTGCTACCAACTTTGAGCCAAGTCAACCAAGGTTTGATTGGTCAAGTAGTCACTTCGTTTCTGGTTGTCAGTGCATGCAGCCAGTTGCCATCTGACCTCGTCTTTTTCTTTCTTTGCTTCCATATTTTCATCAATTGCCTAACAAAATATGCATTTAAGAGAAAATTAGTTCCATGTATGCTTAAATTACATTAGGTCATTACAATAGGGAAAGCCTTGTATCCAGGAAACTAAAGCATGAATGCTAATTCTTTTAATACTATAATGAATTTATAAGGATACTACATTTATGTTGGCAATTTATACAGAGAACAGCATTTATGTATGAGCCCAATGAGAATCCCACCACCTCTCTTAATAAGTGACCATGCTTTCAAGATCAAAGTTCACACTCTTACTGATAATCATCTTGTAGATTTCACCTATTGTTTGGAGACACTCAAGATCATATAATCTGTTGAATCTTGCAGTTGGTGGGGCCTTATTGAGAAGTCATGGGGAATTCTTAAATACTATCCAAAAGTTTTACCATTCTACTCAAACTTCGATCAGGTTATAACTTTGCTCCCTATCTTGTTCTTTACTGTATAATACCTCTAAACAAGAAAATATTTCAAGTTTAATGTGGATTTGATTACATAGAATTTTCTTTATATATATTCTAAGAAAAAAACTTCTTCCCTCATATTCTTCATGATTCTGTTCCTATGGTTGAACCAGTTGTAATTGTGCACTTATAGGATCCTTCTACTTAGATGCAAGGTTTTAAAAGACTAAAGGTGCAGTTGAAGCATAATGGCCCCAAAAGGTGAGGTGTAAGCCTCAAAGCTTAAGAAAAAAATTAATTAAAGTTTATAAATTGATAAAAATAGCATATAATGTCCAAATTATAAGGAAAGAAGGTACGAATATCCATCAAATAGAAGTTTATAAGAAATAAGTTTGAGAATTTAAGCATTAAATAATATAATAACTGATAAACTAACTATTATAAACATTTTACATTTCATGTTTCAAAATGCAAAGTTCTCAAATTATTCAAATGACCAATTTAGAAAAAAAGAAAATATATGAAGAATCATCTATATAATTTATATTAGATTTATGGTTATCCAATAGTTTAGAACAAAGGAAACAACTTAACTGATTTGATCTATGCAAAAAAAAAAAAAATCAATTAAGAAAAGAAAAAGAGAAAAATAACAAACTTGGGATGTTGGATTTAGAATAATAAGAAAAAAATCTCACTTAATTTATGCAAGAGAAACTAAGAACTTGATTGGCCCTTTTAGCATTGAGCTCTCCTAAAACACTAAGAAAAACTAATAGAACTTGATTTTCCCTATTGGTTTCTCATTTTTACTCTTTTTATTTGTCCCCTAATTATTGAAGTGCTTCATCCATATATTTTGAACTATAAAAATGCATAAAATATATATTTTTTGCACTAAATCACGAAATTATCATCAATACTTGAGGCTTATGCCTTTTTACGCTTCAAGCTATGCCTCAGGCCTTGAGGCTTGAGGCTTACGCTTCATTTTGTGAGGCTTAAGCCTTGAGGCAAAATTTGTGTGCCTTGCTTCAAGGCATATGCCTCACACCTCAAGGCTTAAGCCTTTTAAAACAATGCTTAAATGTCACTCTCAGTTGGACATATCTTTTCTGATTCTAAAGTTTTTGTTCCTACTTCAAGCAACTCTTACCACCTGAGCTCCACAAGAAATTAGCACAATGTGTAAAATCAATAGTTTTCTTTTCACTAGTACTTGAATCAAGATTACATATGACTTGTTCGTAGGGTAATTGGGTCTTCCTTAACCAAAGGAGATTATTCAAGAGCTAACATGAAGCACACAAACCTCTATATAGTTATTTTCATTGGGATATTAGTGTAAGATTTCAGTTAGAACCGTCATAGATATATAAGAGCTGGTCTCAGCATGCTTCACAAATAAGGCCAAACCCTTTTTAGATCAACTTATCACCACAATTTCATTATCATGATGGCTGTTGATTGATAGTGACAACTGTTAAATATTACCAAGGGTACAATCAGCCTAGCCAGAGGCATTGCTTTAGTCAACTGGTAATTCAAGTTGAGTTCTGATTCTCTCTCTTCTTCCTCTTCTCTTTTATCTTCCTTTCTATATTTGATCAATTAAATACAAGTAAAACCTTAAAATTTAAGTAGAAAAAGATAAAAGAAAAGGAAAGGTCTTGAAAGTTTGCATAAGGGTCTGTATATGGTCAAGTATGTATAGTGAAGTTGGTTGTATTACTCTAAATTCTAAAGAGCAATATGCGGAACTTTGATTACTTAACATCTCGCCAAGTTAGATACATATCAATTTTACAAATGTTCTTTTTGTCCTCTGTAAATTTGTTCAGGGCCATGGTTATCATTTTTCTGTTGATGGTGTGCAAGTACTAAATGATCCTTGGAATAACATTTCTTGCCAAAGCTTTCAGGTATCTTCCCAGTGAATCTTCTTTTTGGATTTTGTTTTTTTTTTTGAAATTTATATGTTGTTTGTTTACTACTTGTAACTATATTTCTTACTGTTTTACATGCATATTTTGATTTTCTATACTCTTCCTTCTGAAATTCTTGTTCCATGCTGTGGTATTGAAAATTTGTTTTGGTTAACTTAAGTTCAAATAGTTAGCTTAAAAAAATAGTGGCATTTCATTGGGTATACAGGTCTGCAAATGGTTGGCAGATGGGTTGGCAAAACAAGGGGTACAGAGGGGGAATCTATTTTGGGGGGATGGGAGTACCCATTAGTGTATATATTCTGTGATCAGGTCATCTCAACCTCTGGGATGGCTGTTATTTTGCACTTAATAATTTTACCTTAATAAAATTTTATTATGTGACTCAGTAAAAAACACTTCAGTTCAAAAGAATAGTTCTAAGCAACTGGCATAGTCTGTCAACATGCTTTTGCTTTACAATCTGTTGCATAGAAAGGTTAAGTAAGAAGAATAAATAAGAAGAAACAAGTAAGTGGTGGACATAGAGAAGATAAGAAAGGAGAGATTATATGATTGTGTTGTGGGGGAAGAGAATCAGTTATGGGTGTACACTCGCTCTATTAGTTTTACATTTTGGATTACAGATGTAAAAAGACATTATTGCTCCCATTACACAAGAATAAAAATAAGTGAAAACAATCTCGCTTCTCTCTGCACTTCCCCCCCTCAAGTGGAGCATAGATGTCAGCATGCCAATCATGCTCAACTTGCTAAATATATTATGTAATTTGGTTCTTGCAACTTATTTGGTAAAATATCAGCCAATTGAATTTAGTGGAGATTGATTTCAGATATTGAGGGTGATACTGAATTTAGTGGGAGAGGGGAAAGAAGAAAGACTTTGCTGTAAGGTGGAGTCTTTGAGAAGGGGTTTTTTCGAAAAAGTGCTTGATGAAGATCATTAGCTGGAATGTGAGAGGCTTGGGAAGTGAAAGAAAGAGAAGGGCAATTAAAGATTTGTTGAGGAGAGAGCAACCGGACATAGTCTTGATGCAG